ACTACAAATGAGCCAGGCATGGTGGCAGACACCTGTAATCCCAGTGACTGGGGAGGCTGAGGCAGGAGGATTATGAGTTCAAAGCCAGCCTCAGCAACTTAGTGAGGCTCTAAGCAACGGAGCAAGACCCCATCTAAATAAAAAGGGCTGTGGATGTGGCTCCTTGGTTAAGCATCCTTGGGTTCAGTCTCTGGTACCAAAAAAGAAAAAAAGGGGGGAAAAAGACTAAAGATGGATTATGAACTTAAATGTAAAACATAAATTTATTTAGCTTTTAGAAAAATCTTGGGGATCTGAGGCTAGGCAAAAGCCTTAGACTTGACACTAGAAGTATGATCCATTAAAAAATTTCACACAGCACTGTCAAAAAAAATAATAAATTGGACCTAATAAAAATTAAAAGCTTTTGCTCTGCTAGAGAGAGGAGCTCCTGGCCAGAGATGACTGGGACATCTCTGAACAGTACCAGTGCTTGGAAGGAAGGTCTTTCTTTTTTACCCCCAACCTCATGATTGATTTCTCTTCTACCATCAGCTTGGACAAACTGCTTGATGCTGGTCTGTATACAGGAGAAGTGACTGAAATTGTAGGAGGCCCAGGTAGTGGCAAAACCCAGGTGTGTATGAGGCAGCAGCCAGGAAGACTGGTAGAGGTGGGTGCCTAGTCCTGGATCTGTGGGGAGCTTCCACCAGTGTCTTCATGGGTTCAGGAGTCAAAAGAGGCAAGATGGGTGATGAGAGGTGGGCTTGGACTTAGGTGGTTTTGCCTCTGAAATCTGGACAAAATGAGCTTTGTTTCTAGACCTTCCCTCTCTGAGGGCTCAGGTTCACCTGATGGCCCATTCTCTCTTAAGGTATGTCTTTGTGTGGCTGCAAATGTGGCCCATGGCCTGCAGCAGAACGTCCTATACATTGATTCTAATGGAGGGCTGACAGCTTCCCGCCTCCTCCAGCTACTTCAACCTAGGACCCAGGATGAAGAGGAACAGGTAAGGGGCAGGACAGTTGGGTTCCTGCTCACAGGAACTAGAACTAGACTCTTGACTAGAAGACCCTAATGTCCCTTACACTGCAAAAATGTGGGCTGTTTCAATGAACAGTCATTTCTTGCTTTGAAATTTGAGGTTCTGTTGATAACTTCCTGTGTCCCTTAAGCCTGCCCTGGTAGTGTCATTTTCCCAGCTTGCATGCCTCTGGGACAGTTCTTCCAGGAATCCCTCCCAACTCCTTGCATATTCTAATCAGAGCTGGCAATCACCCAACATCTGTTTCCAGCCCATTTCTTGCCCATGGCAGATATCATCAATCAGTTGTATCTCTTTCCCACCAAGTTGCAAATATGTTACAGTTCAATACCCAGGCAGATCTAGCCCCTTGGACAAAACCAGGTTGCCATTCTGGACCTGAGTGTTTGTGTCTGAGTGCCTCTTCCCCTTCTTAGCCTTATAATTCCTCTTCATCACCTTCCTCAGACCCCTGATCCATCTTATCCCAAGCCTCTACATTTTTCTCCCACCCCTACAGGCAAGAGCTCTCCAGAGGATCCAGGTGGTGCATGCATTTGACATCTTTCAGATGCTGGATGTGCTGCAGGATCTCCGAGGCACTGTGACCCAACAGGTGAGGCTTCTGTCCTGCCCTTCCCTGCTTTACTCAGCTCTCCAGGTACCATCTGTATGTGGGCAGGTGTCCTACTACAGACTCTCTTTGAGAATGCATATGTACAATCTGATGATGTCAGCTGTGTGTGCCACTCCCAAAGTGGAATTCCTTAGTACTTATTTCATATGCTTTATTGTTTACCTATTCCCCATCCCTGCTAAACAATAATGTCCTTGAATACAAGGATTATGTTGTATTTGTCTCTTCATCTCTGCATTCCTCACTAAAACCAATTAGGAATGATTTCAGCTGCAAGTAATAGAGATTGTTTGACAGACTTGAACTTTGAGGACATCTAATTATCTCACAAGAGTTATGGAGGTTGGCCACTCCAGAACATGAGGGCACGAGGCTGTGTGTCTGATTCTCTTGTTCGTCCCCTCATGATTGCTAAGTGGCTGCTATACCCTCACGTGTCTTCTCTTCACACATCGACATCCACATTCAGGCCAGTGTTGTAGAAACAGAATCAGAATATAAGAAGTAAGGGAGAAGAGAAAGGAATCCTGGAACACAACCTAGGCCCAAGAAACCAGGAGGATGTTAATGCTTGTGGTTTGAAAGATGGCATCAGAGCTCTTCTTAAAGAGCTGTCTTTATTTGGAACCACTTTAGCTATGGGAAAGGAGGCTTTAGAGGAATGATCTAGAAAGAGGCAGTGAAATAAAGAGAAAGCAAACTCTTCAATGAATGAAGTTGGGAATTTGGGGTGGAAGTGAGCAGGAGAGAGATGAGGAGTGAGTCAGAAAAGGAGAAGGTCCTAAGAGGATGGTTGGTGGGAGACAGGACGTGAGAGAACCCAAAGCCGACCACAGTCCTCTGAATGGGAATTTCTGAAGGAGCATTTGCCACATCCTGTGATTTAAACCCCCTCTGCCCACCCAAGTCTTCAGTGAAGTCTGTTAGGCACCCAGCTGGGTCGAGGAAAGCGTTGCTGGAATTCTGTGATGCCCGTGCAGCTTACTTGGAATGGAGAGGTTGTTTCTGACTAGCTTCTGATGGATGTGCAAGCTTGTCCTGCAACAGGTGCCCTGCCCAAGAGGCCACTGGTTCATGGTGGCTGCTTCCCCCAAATCCCTCCAGGTGAGGTGTTCTTCGGGGACTGTGAAGGTGGTGATTGTGGACTCGGTCACTGCAGTGGTCTCCCCACTTCTGGGAGGTCAGCAGAGAGATGGTGAGTGCTGTGGCAGAGCCTGAGGGGAGCGGACGGACCCTCATCTCCTGGCTCTGGAGTCTGGCCCCGGGCCAGCCCTATCCCTTGTCCTCTTCTTCTCCTCCCCCAGGCTTGGCCTTGATGATGCAGCTGGCCCGAGAGCTGAAGACCCTGGCCCGGGAGCTCAGCATGGCAGTGGTGGTGAGGAACAGGCTCAGCCTACAAACTTAATTTCCAGTTACAGCTAACTCTTCATTTCCCTTAAGTGGCAGCTCTGAACCCAGAGTAAACCCTTTAGGAAAGGGATATAGCCCAATTTCCCCAGGTCAGCTGGAGCTCTGGACTGAAAGGGAAGAAACTGGACCATTAGTAGCGAGGAGGATTAGGAACCAATTTGTTTTTCTTTTTCTCTTTTTAAGTCATGTTTATTGAGGTTTAATTTACATAGAGTAGCTCTTCCTTGTTTGAAGTTTGACTAATAAATACAGTTGTATCCAATCTTGTTATACTGCCAAAAGGTCCCTTGATCCCAGACAACCTCGTAATTTTTCTGTCCCTATGGTTTTCCCTTTTCCAGTTTTTCCTATAAATGGATCATTTTGTTGTTAAAGTAACTTTTTCTGCTTAGGAAGCAGTTTGTTTTTTTGTTTTCATTCTTTCTTTTTATTTTCTTTTCTTTTTTTTTGTTACTGGGAATTGATCCCAGGGGCACTCTACCACTGAGGCACATCCCATCCGTTTTTCTGTTTTATTTATTTATTTATTTTTTTGAGATTAGGGTCTTGCTAAGTTATTGAGGCTGGCCTCAAACTTGCTATCCTTCTACCTCAGCCTCCCAGGTCACTGGTATTACAGGCATACACCATTATGCCTGGCTAGAAGCAGTTTTTAAAGTCTTCATGCTTCTCATAGGAAGATTTAAAAAGTAATTAAATATAAAATTCAAACTTGTAATCAATCTCCATATCCACAGAAACTTAATTATTTTATCTCCATAAAATCTTTTTTCTTTGCATATATACTTATACTGTTTTGGAGGGTGAGGGGTTACCAGGAATTGAACTCAGGGGCATTCAACCACTGAGCCACATCCCCAGTCCAATTGTGTATTTTATTAGAGACAGGGTCTCATTAAGTTGCTGAGCGCCTCACCCTTGCCAAGGCTGGCTTTGAACTCACGATCTTCCTGTCTCAGCTTCCCAAGCTGCTGGGATTACAGGTGTGCACTGCTGCTCCCGGCTATAGTTATACTTTTAACTAACCTTCTAACTAAAGTAAACTTGTTTAAGAAACCATAAAAAATAACCATTTCAGTCCATCTCCCTTGTTCTTACATAGATCTTTAAGACTGTCATTTTTAGCAGGTTTTTCTTTTTCTTTTTCTTTTTTTTTTTTTTTAGATGGATTCTCACTGTGGTGGCCTTCAACTCACATTCTTCCTAGGAGCTATGCATGTTTTTCCCAGTTTTTAAAATTATGTTAAGATAAGTGGTATAAAATACATTTGTAATGTACCCTTATCACTGTCCATCTCCATGGCTGTTTTCATCTTATAAAACTGAAATTCTGGGCCCATGAAAAATAACTCATGGGCCAGGCACGGTGGCACACACCTGTAATCTCAGTGGCTTGGGAGGCTGAGGCAAGAAGGTCACAAGTTCCAGGCTAGCCTCAGCCACTTAGTGAGGCCCTAAGCAACTAGTGATACCCTGTCTCTAAATAAAATTTTTAAAAAGCCTGAGGATATGGCTCAGTGGTTAAGCACCTCTGTGTTCAATCTACAGTACCCCCCGACCAAATAAATAAATAAATGTCTAGAGGCAACATTTCCACATTTTGTGGAAGGTGATACTAATTTGTATTCTCACTGGCAGTGTAGAAGGATCTGTTTTCCTATCCTTTTATTCAAATACAAGTTCTTGGGGCCTTGCTTTCCTGGCTTTTGGATGTCTGTAAGCACCTTCTGTGTGCCAGACTCCGGAATAGGCAGTAGGGATTCAGTGATGAACAAGCCCTAGCCTCTAGGGGCTGTCACACTTGCATGCCTCTATGGGAGCCGATCCGCCAGATTAGGACTCCTATTCAAAAACTTGTGCTGTGCATGCCTATAATCCCAGTGACTTGGGAGGCTAAGGAAGGAGGATTTCAAGTTTGAGGCCAGCCTCAGCAACTTGGTGAGTCCCTAAGCAACTTATTGAGATCCTATCTCAAAATAAAAAATGCTGGACCCCCCTTATTAAAATAATTTTATTTTATTTATATTTGTTTTTTTATGTGGTACTGAGGATAGAACCCAGTGCCTCAAACATGTTATGCAAGCGTTCTACCACTGAGCCACATCCCCCGCCCCACGTCCAGCCCTTTTTAATTTTTTTTTTTAAAAGAGAGAGTGAGTGAGAGAGAGAGAGAGAGAGAGAGAGAGAATTTTTTAACATTTATTTTTTAGTTTTTTGGCGGGCACAACATCTTTGTATGTGGTGCTGAGGATCGAACCTGGGTCGCACACATGCCAGGAGAGCGCGCTACTGCTTGAGCCACATCCCCAGCCCCCTTTTTAAATTTTATTGTAAGATAAGGTCTCATTAAGTTGTCTAGGCTAAGCTGGAACTTCTGATCCTCCTGCCTCAGCCTCACAAGTAACTGGAATTACAGATGTGGACCACTACACCTTGTTTTCATATCAGTCCTTTTAGCTGTTCTTCATGTTATTCGAAAGTATTTCTGAGGTCACATTTTAAAGGCTTGATTGTTAATGATAAGAAAGGTATGATTTAGCATGTAAATATTTGCTTATGATCCCCACTTAGATATAAATGAATAATATCAAGAATATTATAAATATTTCTGTGAATAAACAGGGTTTCTGTCCCCCATCAGAGCACAAGTGACCAATACAGGTCAAACTGTTTATTTCCCAAACATATACAGATACATTTATACTTTGCTTTGGGCCACAGAAACTGTAGTTTAGGTGAAAAGTCAGTTTTAAAACAGGAATTCAACAGCTTTTTCATGCTTGCATTGTGCTTGTAACTTTCTTGTTTATGTATCTGTTTAGTCAGTCACAGATCATTGTACATCTAGTATTTGAATCATCTTGTATGAATTTGGGTATGAAATATATTTGCACATTAACGTTTTAAAAAAGGGCTGGAAATGTGATGTGACTCAGTGATTAAGTGCCCCTGGTATCAAACCAGACGACTCTCTCAGGGCAGGGGACATAGCTCAGTGGTAGAATGCTTGCCTAGCATGCCTGATGCCCTGGATTCAATACCCGGTACCACCAAAAAAAAAAAAAAAGACAGAACTCCTCTTGCCCCCATAAACACACAGGTATATTACAAAGGGCTGGGTGGACATGGTCTCTGGATGCCCATTTGCTGGGTTGGGGGTATAGTGGCTGCAAGCCCACCAGTAACTTCCCTATGGGAAAGTGTGACTAGCACTGCTTTTTCCCAAACAGGTGCCACATTGCCTTCTAGTTGGGGGTTAGGCTTGAGGCTTGAAGGTTTTAGCAGAGAGAGCTGGGTCCAGGTCAGGAGCCCTATGATCTAGTCCCAGACCTGCCATGAAGTTATAGAGCCTTGGGGGAGTCATCTGTCCACACCAGGCCTCACTTTTCTCATCTATAAATTGAAGCAGTAGGAGCAGATGTCCTCTGTACTAGCATTATGGATCTATAAGCCTTTCTGCAGGTGACCAACCACATGACCCGGGACAGGGACAGTGGTAAGTTCAAACCTGCTCTTGGACGTTCCTGGAGCTTTGTGCCCAGCACCCGAATTCTTCTGGACATCATTGAGGGTACAGGAGCATCAGGCAGCAGCCAGCGCACAGTGTGTCTGACCAAGTCTCCGCGTCAGGTGAACCAGCCCCAGGGGAGCGCCAGTGATCTTGGGCCCTGGAGGGAGGTTTCCATGCCCACAAGTGTCTTACTGAATTCTCTGATGCTGAAACTGTGGAATAGGTCTACTCACGTGGGTTGCTTAACTCAACTTACCCTTCCCTCTGTCTCCTCTTCCAGCCAACAGGGTTCCAGGAAGTGGTGGACATTGGGACCTGGGAGACTCCAGAGCAGAGCCCAGTGTTTCAGGGAGAGCAGACATGACTGATGCTGTTGATTGGGACAGGAGGAGGCATCACAGCCCCCTACCTTTCCTTCTTAGTAATGTTGCTGTTTACTGCCAGCCTGCACCTGGGACTGCAGAAGTTCCCAGACTGGCCCAAAGAACCGGCTCAGTTTCCTAAACTTCATTCTCTATGGAGACTCTTAGAGCCACAGGCCAAGAGGAAGCTGCCGTGGAGGATGCACAGGTCCAGGCTGGTGCCACATTTCCTCCCTTTGCATCCACTTTCTATATTTCCAATGGAAGCTGAGTTCACCCTGGGCATCACTGCAGAGGCCATACTAGTAAATGGAAGAATACTCCTGTGTATCGCCATCAGATCTTGTGCTCAGTCCTAGCACAATGATGGGGCCAGAGAGCCACTAGCTTGCCTCCCTCTCTTCCTCTTTTTTTTTGCCTCTGTTTTTCCATCTGTAGGATGGGTTTCCTTTCCCATCAGCTGCCTCTGAGTTACTGGATGGAAATAACCTCATAAATGCAAAAACAATTCTTCATCTAGGTCCTGCTCTTAAAAATATATGTAAAAGACAATTCCCTGAGCTCCAGAATCACCCCCCCCCCAAGGTTGTTTTTCAGTTTCTCCCAGTAAAGCCCCCAAAGAATGATTATTCCTTTGCTCCTGCTGATTTGGTTTCACACACCTGCATGCATCACCATGACTAGAATGTGAGCTTGCTGCTGTCCCAGGGATATAATTTAACAAGAAGGAAGGCAATGACCTGCTCCTGGTGAATCCAGCCACTTGTTTAATATGCATGGTGCCCTCTGGGGCCCTTCCACAGTATAGAGTAACCAGAGGTGCTGAACCGTGGCCTTGCCCACAAACAGACAGGAGAATTTGCACAATAAATACAGCCAGCTGGGAAAATTGATGCTAGTGTAAATAATACATGGCAAACCTAGTCCTTTATGCAGAAATTCATTGCTGGTGGCTCCAAGATGCAATATAATTACACCTCTTCCTGCCAGCTGTACCACAGCTTTGTGCCTTAGTGTATGAAATAAAGCCGCCCCCCCTCATCTGATACCACTACCGTGGCCATTCGTCTGAGAGCTATAACCCTGTCTGGGAGGGGAGGATCATGCCAGGGGAAGGAAAATAAAAGATGAAGTAGAGAAATGATCAGGATTGTGTACTCATCACATTTTTTTTAAAGGTTACTCTTCTTGATTAGAGAATCTGTTGTGTAATCAGTTGTGTCCTGGGTGCAGGAAAAGGGGGTCAGAGTTACACTTAGAAGATACAGACATTTATGGGTGATGACTGAAATGGATAGTAACAAGCAGGGAGGATGAGCAATGAGCGGCAGGCCTGCACAGGGGTGTCTGAGTGAGGACAGGATTGGTGAATCTAAACCCTGATTCTTGATCCCACAGAAGACCCTAGGACAAAATCAGTCTTCAGAATCTTTACACCATTTTGGTTGGCACTTTCCTGGAGTCATAGTAAGAAGCACTGCATTAAGCTAGGAATGGCATAGCCCTGCCCTTTATGGTGCCATTTGGGCATCCAGAGCCCACGGCAGATATCATCAGCCATCGCAGCCACTCTTTTCTGTAGAACTTGGAGTACTTTGCAGTTTTTCCTCAGTGCAGCACTACAGACAGATGCTACTTGTCAGTTGAAGCTGGCATTCGAGGGGGCCTGGTTGCCCCCTCTGTCCTGGGCAGACTTGTCCTGTTCCCTGTGTGAGTTTAGGTACTTCCTACCTGACTGAGAACCCTCGAAAAGTGCAGTTTGAGGGGCATATAAAGATCACCTGGCCCATGGTGTCATTTATAAAAGAACTTGGGGCTTAAAGGAAAAGTGGCAGTCCCAGGGCAGAACAAGGGCTTGCACCGGGACTCTTAGTTCATAGGTCAGGACTGTTGCTATCCCCACGGGGCCTTGCAGTTTCCAGCCTCATAGTTGTGTTTCTGCTGGGGCATGGCTGCAGCTGAGCTGCACAGCCTTTGCCCAGGTGCTCACACTAGCCATGGGAGAGTGTTCTATTCCTGGCTACTCCAGGCCACCAGGCAGCATTGCTGCTGGCACCTGGGTGGCCTGCTTTATCCCTTTGGCTCTTGTTCCTAGACCAGGCCTTTGTCTTGCCTGCATGCTGCTCCACTCTCCATCCTGGCTGTACCACACTGCAGGCTCTTAAAAGGCCTCCAGCAGGTGGGTTCTCCTGCCAGGGAGTCTTTTGTTCCCTTGGCTTACGTGCATGCCTTTGCCTTTCCCTCACAGTGCCTGATGCATACCCACCCTGACATCCTCCCTTATGTCCCAATCATGGGCTAGATGTTCATAATAGCTCCCCTGTACTAGTCACCTATACTTTCTGTTCATGTGTCTGCCCAGGAGCCCAAGCTCCACTCCAAGAGCTCCCTGTCAATTTTTCTCTTATTTTTCCATTTTATGGGTGCTTATGAAATGAGTGGGATTAAACACATTTTAAAGATGGCCAAGGAGGAATGCAGGAATGTCTTCTTGATCTAGATAGTCATTAAGTTCCCATAGTCACTTTTTACAACCCTCTACAGGAGACTGGTATGTCCTTTATTTGAAATAAGATGGAATTAATGTTAAGTTCTTACTATGTGCTAGCACTGATGGCATGGCACTTGAACTAAAGACTGTCAGGCAGAAGTCCCCCACCTACCACCTCTTTTTGGTGCTGGGGATTAAGTTCTCACGCATGCTAGGCAAGTGCTCTCCCACTGAGCTACATCCCACTCCTCTGTGTATTATTGAGGCCACATTGCACTGCAAGTTTTAAAACTTGGCTTAAAGATGCATCAACAAGGTCACTCATCTCTGATAATGTGAAGTCCAAGATTGGTAGCAGAGGGCCTTTCCGCTCTGTTCTCGTTTTGTATTTTGTCTTAAAGCTTGTTGCCCTCATCAAAAGAACTTGCCCTCTGGATTGATACCACTCTGAGCATCAATCCAGATATGACAAAATCTACAAGCAGGAAAGGGATCACCTACTTTTGTCCTTTGAAGAATAAGGAAAATGCAGAAGTTCCTTCTAACCAAAGCTGACTTACTCTGTATCTGATTAGTCGAATTGCTTCATGCACCCATGTCTATTTCAGTAACTGGCAGAGGAAGTGGGGCTGCTGTGATTGGTTGAGATCAGCCAGGAAATAGCCCTGGAGCTGGGGCTGAGGGTGGGTTTTCCTGAAGCAAATGCTGTGGCCTACTGGAAAGGAGGGAGAGTGTAGAGGAATCAGACATTGGGTGGGCCTGCCATAGTCTAGAGGGCAAGTTCATCCAGGCTCCCTTATGTTTGTTCAGGCCCTGTACACGTGACTCATGGTGTCATTAGAACAGCTGTGTGACACAGGGAATCTTTCTATCTTACAGATGGTAAGTGAGAGCTCAGTGATGTAAAGCCAATAAGTGATAGCACAGGACTCCAAACTTGAATCTATCTGATGCCTAACCCACTTCTTCCCAACTTCACATTGCCTTCAGCTAGAAGTATGCAAGTGTTTTAACAAAATTCTTTTTCATATTTTGCCATGGTAGCAGCAAAGGCTGCATATATCCCAACCTCTTTCAGCTTAGCTCACCATAAAACTCTGGATCAGAGATCTACTTTATCAGCTTTTTCTGATTTTCCCTAGGGAAGAGAGAGTGACAAACACTCGGAGAAGGCAGATATCATTAGTATTAAAGAGAAGTGGAGGTTTAGGGGGAAATAAAGCTGAATAAAAAACAACGGGGCTTTGCATCCCTGAGACATGAGCCAGGAGGAGATAAGGGATTTAGATGCATATCCCTCTAGGTTTTTGCTGTGTTCTAACATGGAACTGTCTGGGTAGAGTTACAACTGCAATTTTGTGTGTGGAAAATGGGCATTAGAGAAGGCTCTTGTGGTACTGAGGGTTAAATCCAGGGCCTCATTCATGCTAGGTAAGCAGTCTACCACTGAGCTGTATCCCCAGCCCCTCGCCCTTTATTTTCCTTTTAGAGTTAGGTATATAATGAATCAAAGGGGACCCTGGGAGCTGAGGATGAAGCTCTGTGGTAGAGTACTTGCCTAGCATGTATAAGGCCTTTGGTTCAATTCTCAACACAGCAGGACAAATAAAAAAAAGTTTTCTGAATGCTTTTCAACATTTTTTCTTATCTACTGCACTGGTTAGATTAACTTCCAGTATTCTGTAGGTAGAAGCAACAATAGCTATCATCCTATTTTATCACTGAGTTAGAACTTGGAGGGTAGGTGGCTCTGGTAGAATTCTTGCCCAGTATGCATGAGGCCCTGGGTTCCCTCCCTGGCACCATACCACCCCCCAACCCCCCTACCCCCATAAAACTAAACAAAACCCAAACACCTCTAGTGTTTCCCACCAATCTTGGAACAGGTGTTTTAGTTGCAGCACATATGGACTCCTTGAGTAACACTCAAGTCCCTTTTCTTCCCTGGCGTCTTTTGGGCACAGTGAGGGGCACAGGGGATTGAGCCCAGGGGCACTTAACCACTGATCCACATCCCCAGTCCCTTTTTTGTATTTTATTTAGAGACAGAGTCTCACTTAGTTGCTTAGGGCCTCGTTAAATTGCTAAGACTGGCTTTGAATTCACAACCCTCCTGCCTTAGCCTCCTGACCAGCTAGGATTACAGGCATGTGCCACCGTGCCGTGCCCAGCTTCCCTGGATCCTTCATAGTCTCTGGACATTATAGCATCAGTTTATGTTTATGTTTTGCCAGAAGACAAAGGACCAGTGCTGAAAAGGATACAAAGTTAAGGAACATTTTTTTTTCTTTTTTGTTAATGGGAATTAAACCCAGGGGTGCTTTACTACTAAGCAACATCCCCAACCTTTTTTAAAATTTTGAGACAGGGTCTCATTCGGTTTCTGAGGGTCTCACTAAAGTGTTGAGGCTGGCCTTGAACTTGGCAGTCCTTCTGCCTCAGACTCCTGAGTCACTGGGATTATTGGTGTGTGCCACCATGCCCAGCTAAGGAGCAGGATTTTTAACATTTCAACTAAGTTGGTCTTAGCTCTGATATTTACTTGTTTTATGACAGTGGATGAGTGACTTGGCCTTTTGAAGACAGTTTCATCCACTGAGGAATGGGAAAAATAATGCCTATTTCATAGACTAGTTTTAGGGTCATGTAGCTTATGTAAAGTGCCAAATATCATAGGTAATATCATATTACCAGGTGTATCATAGGCACTCAATCTCATATCATTGGGAGGCTCATGATGCCTTAGAGATACTGGTGAGAGCTTCTGTCTAGGAAGGGCAGCTTTGTGGTTGTGTGACTGGTGCAGTCATCCCGGACACCTTGCTCAGAAGGGCCCAGCACTTAGTTTAAAGCTGTGTTATGGCCATCTTGTAATTTTGAATTTCTGACCAAGGGTCCTCATTTTATACTGTGCTTGCAAACAATGTGGCCAGTCTTGTTTTCAGAATGGCTTCAGTTTGGGTCCTTCTTTTTGGGAGCTATACTACCACTGATTTCCTAGGGAATAACTCCCTTGGAATTAATACATAATTTACCCATAAATAAATTAGGGCTAGCATCCTGTGTATGTTTAAGTGTTCCATTCTGGCATAACCTCTGCAGCCTGTCTCAGAAAGGGATACTCTGTGTTTTACAGAATATATGAGGTCCTGAGAAATTCCACTGGGGTGCCTAGTGAAGTAGAACCAGGGAAAGATCTAGGTTCAAAACCCTGCTAAGCCCTTCCTGGCTGAGTTCCTTGGACAAGATAATGTCTCTGTCCTACTGGTAAAATCTATGTTGCAGGCGAATTACATTTTCCTTATTGGTAAAATATATATCTCAGGGGAATTAAACAGGTAATTTATGTAAAGTGAACTTTCAGCAGAAAATCTGGCACATAGTAGGTGTTCAATCACTATTAATTCTTCCAGTTCTTGCCAGAACGAACAAAAATCAGGGCACTAGGATTTACAAGCCTTTTTGCTACTAATAAAATAAATAATAAGATTTATTTTTTTACTACTGTTTGGGGAAAGGCATGTGCTTCATAAATATGTATTGGAAAGTACTTAGCAAATGAGTAGAAATAATAAAAATATGTCAAAGTAAACAGCTCCTATAAATATGTCACTTGGTAGACAAATTAGTGTTTTATTACTACTAAATACTAT